TGCTGCTGCCCACCCCCAGAACCTCCACCCCCACACGAGGTCAAGGAGGAGAAACGGTAGCGTAAGACGGCCTAGGTGGCAGGAGAGAGGGAGGAGTAGTGCCTAATCACAGCATCGTAGAAATTCTGGGCCGACGTCACCTGGCGAAAGTGGGCCCTCTGGTCGAGCAACAGGTGAGCGCGGACAGCAAGCTGGGCGATAGTGTCGCGTGCCGTCCACCATATGCAGGCAGTGCGGTCCGCCCGGTACCGCCGCTGCACTTCCTCCCTAGCGTTAGCAGCAGGCTCAGGTGGAGTCGTGGGGGCCTGAAGGGACCCCGACGTGTGCTCGAACAGGGAGACTCATCCCTAATAAAACGCTGGAGATGCAGGCGTGCTAGCCACTGCTCAAACTCGAGAGGGCGCCCGTCTGCGTCAACCTCTAGGACAGTGATAGTGGCCATGACAGGAACTAGGTCAAGCGTCAGTACTAGGAAGTAGCTGCAGATCTGGGCATCGTCGGCAGTTCGGGGCGCAGTGGGAGAACGAACAGCACGGCAGTAGGTGAGTGGCTCGACAGCAGACAGAGTGGTATCGTGGCGCAGCGCGGCAGTAGGCAGTGCGGCGCGGTGCGGCTCGACAGCAGCCCGGCGCGGCGCGGCAGCAAGGCAGCGCGCAGCGGCAGGGAAGCGCGGGCAGCAGGGCAGCGCGAGGCGGCAGGGCAGCGCGCGCGCGGCAGGGCAGCGCCCTAAGCACAGGCGGCAGCACTGGCAGCAGCGGGCGGCAGCACCCTAAGCGCGGGGCAGCGCGGGCAGCAGCCCGGGCGGTGCGCGCAGGGCAGTGGCGCGCAGGGCAGCGAGGGCAGCGAGGGCGCGTGAAGCACGGGGCAGCGGGGGCGCGTGACGCGCGGGGCAGCGGGGGGCGCGTGACGCGCAGGGCAGCGGGGGCGCATGACGCGTGGGGCAGCGGGGGCGCGCGACGCGCGGGGCAGCGGCGCACAGGGCAGCAGTGCGTGTGGGGCAGCGGGGCAGCGGGGCGCGCGTGACGGTCGCGCGCGTGGCAGTGAGGGGTCGACCTAACCTAAGCTAAGTTCGACAGTAGGTCAGGTAGTCGATCCTAACCTAGCCTCGGATACCATGCCAAGAACATAGCGGAAGAAGAATGACTAGAAAGTGAGAGTACAAGCAAACATGTATGAAACCCTAAGTGGGTTGTACTCTACAAGGACTACCCCACTACAACTTTCAGCAATATATGCAATATGATTTTGACGTACATATCACAACTGGATGCCCTCATTATAGTCAATTCCTTCTTTCGTTAACATAACTTTTGGTTGATGTAGTAGCAGCGTATGCTTCGAGGAAAGCGTTGCGTAACCTGATTTCCACTTATAATATATTCAACCAAGGGAAACATTTACATGTAAAATGGTACACACTTGCCCCAAACCAATGCAATTCCGCCCAATCCTGATTGTATTCGGAAATTATATATTCTTTATCGAAATTGTAGTAAGGTTGGTTTGACTAAGGTTGGTTGGGGTACATAAACCTAACCCTAACAGTTGTATCCCCTATAACACACATCACTAAGACTACAACATTTGACACACCCCCATAGTCTAAGTGAGGGGTGTCAAGCAAAACCAAAAGTGTACGGTCACAAGACCAGTCACAAAGAAACAAAGCTCAGGATGGATCACAACGTCACCACACACTCCGAGCACAAGCAAAAGAGCCACAAGGCTAGTTCAAGAGTTCACAGAGGTATATGTAAAGTGTACAAACAAAGCAAGGAGAGAACAAGCACATTAACTAGCAAAGACTATGCAAGACGAGAACCCGTGCCAACGAGACCTAACTGCACACAACACATCTGGTGGTCACAAGGCGGCAGGGCCTTGGTGAAGATATCTGCAGTGTTGGCCTCGGACTCAACAAAGTCGAAGCGAGCATGTCCACGCTTCTGCAACTCTCGCAGAAGAAAGTATCTGACGTTAATGTGCTTCACTCTGCTCTCTAGTCGCGGCTCTCGACAGAGGGAGTTCGTCGCCTTGTTATCAGTGAACAAGGTCGGCGCAGAATTCGGCCGCTCACCAAGGTCAGCCAGCGTAGCTGCTGTGCAGCCATAGCTCCAGCGTAGATCTCGGCCTCAACAGTAGAGGTCGAGACCGAGGAGGAACGTGTGGACCTCCACGAAACAGCTCCAGAGCCCAAGCTGAAACAGTACCCCTGAGTAGACATGTGCGTCTCGGCGTCGTCAGCGTAAGAAGAGTCACAGTGACCAGTAAGCACGACATCCTGTCTCCCTCCAAGAACCAGCCCCACGCCTGATGTCGTCGCTAGGTACTTCGCCACCCTCACAGCAGCTGTCCAGTGAACTGGACGGTGTCTCCCTGGCGCAACAAAGCGAGCAAGGATGCTGAGAGGGAAGGCGAGGTCAGGGCGAGTACAAGTCATCAGTACATGAGGCAGCCCACAAGCTCTGCGTAAGGACCACTTGGCTCGAACGGCTCGTCAGGATAGGGTCCGGTAAGTCTGTGGTCAACGGCAAGAGGTGTGCGCTGTACAGTGGAGTGCTGAAGCTCGAACCGCTGAAAGACCTGCTGCACCATGTGTGGCTGTGAGAGTGTAATGGTGCGAGCGGCTCTGTCCCTGGTGATCTGCAGGCCAAGGTAGTGGCGTAGCTCACCAAGGTCAGTGTGTCTCTTTTGCAGTTCGAGCTTCACGTCAGCCAAAGCAACCCTGTCAGCAGTGGCGAAAACCAGGTCGTCGACGTAGACCAGTACAAAGAACGATGTGGAGCCACGACGAACGAACAGCGATGGGTCGGCAGAAGAAGGCTGGAAACCAAGGTCAGAAAGGGTAGAGCGAAGGGTGTCGTGCCACTCGCAAGGAGCCTGACGGAGACCGTAGACCGGTCGCCTAAGCCTCCACTGGGTCCCAGGAGGGAAAGTGCCAGTGAAGGCAGAGGGACGACGCAACTAGACCTCCTCGTGTAGGCTACCCTGAAGGAAAGCAGAGGAGAGGTTAAAAGAGTGTAACTCGTAATCTCTCTGTGATGCTACGTGCAGTAACACCCGAAGAGTGGTCATCTTCGGGGTAGGCGCGAAGGTCTGAAAGAAGTCAACTCCCTCGCGCTGACTGAAACCCCTGGCCACATAGCGCGCCTTGAATACCGGAGGAGATCCCGGTGGCCGCTTCACCCTGAAGATCCACATGCCATCGACTATGTTCGCCCCAGGGGGGGGGGAACCTCGTCGACGTAGGTGCCTGTGGATCTGTAGGGGGCCATCTCTGAGTCCATGGCAGCTCTCCACTGAGAGGCCCAAGGCCCTGACACTGTCTCAGCGTAAGTGCGAGGAGTCGGTATGTCAAGGGCGTCGGGGTCTCCCTCAGGGGCGAGCAGCATGGCACAAAGATGAGGGGAAGCGGCTACCAAGAACTCCAGCTCAAACTGCCTGTCCTCTAGGGCGTCACAACCAAGGGCAGACTCACCCCCGACGGCCAGAGGACTGGTAGGAGGAGCAGCCACAAGACTGGTGGCGTAGTCAAGGCGGCGAGTAGAGGCAAACTCAGTGACTGCGGCAGTAAGAGCGGAGACAGAGGACAGAGAAGCACGTGGGTCGGTAACAAGAGAGGCGAGAACACGAGAGAGAACAGGACGGTACGTGCGGTAGTAGTCTGTGACAGGAGTAGAGAGGGAAGCAGTGAGAGCCGACTCAGGAGGAGAAGGAAGTACAGAAGGAGACGACAGTACGAAGGTCAGTGAAGGGAACAGGGGACGAGGGACGAGCACGAGGAGAGCGACGCGAAGGCCAAGTGTGAGAAAGAGGAGGGGACAACGGGGTGAGAGGAGGAGGGAAAACAGTTGGGGAGGGGTCAGGAGGAGGAAGCGGAGGACCAGAGAAGGGAGGAGAGGGGGAGGAGGGAGGAGAGGGAGAGGGGAGACCAAGGGGTACATAAACCTAACCCTAACAGTCATACCCCTTATAACACACATCAGGCTAAGACTACAACATTTGACAACCGCGTACAACCCGAACACTCGGAAGTAGAGACACGATCGACGAGTTGGAAGTACGCACCTTCAGGCATTCCCTCGCCTGAACTGTGCTAGGTCCCCGCCTTGTTAGGGCTCGATCTAGAATGTGACCCTCAGTGTATTGTATTTCATGAAGTCACAGGTCTGTTATAAGTGTATTCAAAGCACTCTGTTTGACAAATGAGCCACTGTACCTTATTGTCTACAAATGGCATATTGTCAGCGCACTAACCAATCGACAGCCGTGACGTGACGTGACTGGTCCGCCTGCCAGTTGACAAGCCAATCGCAACGAACACTGAATGGATGACAGATGACACTGTTCGCACCTGGATTTTTTTCCGGCAGCAGGGGAACTGGTGGTGAGGTAACCAGTGGCTGGCTACCCCACTGCACAAACTGCACCCTTGCATTGCGACGCGCGCGAGTTGAATCTCGAGATGAGCTCCTTAGAACGTGGTGCAGAACTCCTCAGCGCGGCACGGGGTCGGGTCGGGACGGCACAGAACCACTCACCAGAGCATACCAGCCTGGGTGTAACTCCGCTAGTGGTTGTAGTGCGATATGAATCTGAGAAGTCTTGCTTATCGATTGATAAGTTACGTGCACACCAATGATTCGTTCGCTCGCTGGCTTCCCTGCTTCCGACGTGGTTCAACCTCGGTGCATCCTAAAAAATAATCAGCACGAGCAGGACTCATGCACCCCTGAGTCCTGATTCCACTCCAAATTTTCAAGTACTCCAGAATTTCGGGCTTATTTCGTCGTCCCGCTCACCTGATAGCAACGACCCCGCCAGATTCTGATGGAGATGTTTCAACGGTCAGTTGCCTCGAGATCCAGAGGCGACGATTCGAGTCGAACGCAAGACCTTCGCTTGTCCAACCGTTTAGTGGTCACAAATACCGGTGCATTTTCATCTTTAGGTTCATCCGCAGGTGTGTCTCTTAGTTCGTCCAAGGGAGTCGCGTCGCAATGGACTTGGAAGTCCTCCACGTGGCGCGTGCTGCTGCTGCTCGTTCCCGCGGTTTTTATCGGACAATTTCTCTTCTCAAATCGCACGAACGAAGTTTCCTCGCAGTATCTTGACGCCGAAGGAGCGGGAAACGCGATAGGTGCGGTAGATGCGATAAGCGCGGCAGGTACGGCGCCAATCGCGGCGACAGACGCGGCGCCAGGCTCCTTCGCATCCCGTGGCCGCGCCGGTGGCGGCGGTGACGGTGGTGGCGGCTCTCTCCTGGGCGTGACAGGAAGCGGCACAGGCGGCGACAACGACTCTGCGGGTCCAGAGCAGCAAATGCAGCAGGATGAGTGGCAACAGCAGCAGCAGCAGCAGCAGCAGCAGCAGCAGCAGCAGCCGATTTCCACGACAGCCATCACAGCATCGAGCTCAGCAGACGAGGCAAGCACTGTCGAGCCCTCCGCCACAACCGCAGAAACCGCTGAAACCGCACCACGGGTGCACGGGGAATCATCTGGCGGGGAATCATCTGCGGACCATGCCGCTTCCGACCCGAATGCGTATGGCAATCCCAGTGCGAATGATGCGAATGCCAGTGCCAATGGTGGTGGTGATGGGGCCAATGCAAGCGGTGCGAACGGTGCAGGCGGTGCAGAGGGTGCAGAGGGTGCAGGGGGTGCAGAGGGTGCAGAGGGTGCAGAGGGTGCAGAGGGTGCAGGGGGTGCAGAGGGTGCAGAGGGTGCAGAGGGTGCAGGGGGTGCAGGGGGTGCAGAGGGTGCAGAGGGTGCAGGCCGCGCAGGTGGTGAAAGCTGGGGTTCGCAGCGGTTCTACATGGTGACGGGCGAGGGCGACTACTGCGCGGGCGAGTCGCACTGGACGTGGAGCTTCCTGTGCGCCGCAGCGGAGGCAAAGGTGCTCAACCGCACGCTCATCATCCCCATGGCCAGGTGCCTGGATGCACGACATACCTTGTCCAATCTCACGGAGGAGAAACCGATGGCGCTGTACTATGCCATGGACCAGTGGCCGCGGTACGATCGATTGTCCCTTTGGTAACCATTGATTTTGATACTTTGTGGATGATTTTCAAGTTGTGTTGTTTTACTCGTGAATTGGAGCCATGATGTTGAATCATTGCCTAAAAAAAAAAAAAAAAAACGGAAAATGTGGAGGATATGGAGGAATGGAGGAGGTCGGGGAGGTAGAGGAGGTAGAAGGCAAAAGACGTCCCTTAACCTACCCTCCCCCTTCCCACCCCGCGCCCTCCCCCCACACCCCCCTTCCGCCTCCAACCCTCCGTCCCCTCACCCCCCACACAGCTTCCAGCCCATAATGCTGGACCTTGAGTTCGAGCTCACGATAGGCCCGCTGAACGTGACGATTCTGAGGGAGAGGCACAACATGAGCGTGCGGGTGTTTGAGGCGAGGGCGCCCACGAGTCGGTTGGAGAGCGAGGGTGCGCGCAGTGCCACGCTCATCGTGCGCAGGGCGCTGTTTGCATACCAGATGTGTGATGAACACAGGAGCCAGGTGCGTGGTAGGGAAAGACTTTTGGGGACTTTTGAGGTTTCGGGTTTAGGGTGCCATGCTGATCGTGATCGTGCGCATAGTGCTGTTCGCGTACCAGATTTGTGGTGAACACAGGGAGGTGAGTACGAAGGGATGTGGTGGGTGGGAGGGGATGAGGAGAGTGGATGTGGTGAATGGGAGGGGATGTGGTGAGTTGGAGGGGATGAGGTGAGTGGGAGGGTCTGGTGGGTCTGGTTTTCCTTGTGAGGCGCCGCAAAAGTAGACTCGCCTGTCTAGTGCGCAACTACAACTCGATTCACCGCCCCATGTACCTGCGGTGGGTGTCACAGCCCTTCCAACCCTCTCCCGCCCCATTCACCCCGCCCCCTCTACCCCCCCTTGCCCCGCCACCTCTCCCACCTCCCCCCCCTCCCCAGAGGCGTCTGGTGCGCAACTACAACCTGATCCAGCGCCCCATGTACCTGCGGCGCCTAGCAGAGGCGATTCGGCGCAGCATTGGCGGGGACTATGACGTCGTGCACGTGCGGCGAGGAGACAAGCTCAACCGCTACTTCTGGCCGCACGTTGACCGCGATACCCGCCCTGATGCGTGCGTGGGGCATGGCGGAGGGGGAAGGGGAGGGGGAGGGGAGGCCGTAGAGGAGAGACGGGGGAGGGGAGGCGGAGAGGGGGGAGGAGAGAAGAGAGCGGGAATGGGGAGAGGTGGGGATTTGTGAGGGTTGGGAAGTGTGGGATTACAGTGCTACAACTGGAAGGTGCTGTCATGGTGCGTTACTAGGTGTAGATTGCGTGGGGAGGGGAGGGATGACTTTATGGTTGCTTTTGACACACTTTCGCCCTCCCTCCTTCCACCCTCCTTCCTCCCTCCTCACCCACCAGCCTCTTGAAAAAGCTCCCGCGGTTCATAGCGCCGGGGCGCCACGTGTACATAGCGTCGAACGAGCGCACGCCGGGCTTCTTCAGCCCGCTCGCCTCGCTCTACAAGATCCACGTGCTCTCCGACTACCGCCACCTCTGGGCGCCGGGGAGTGACTGGTACAACGCGTGCTGGGAGCTCATGCAGAGGAACCGGGTGACGATGGGAGAGACCGGACCGGAGTTTGATGCTCAGATGCAGGTGGGTGGGGGGCATTGGTGGGAAGAGGAGGATGGGGGGTGAGTGGGAGTGGGTGGGTGGGGTGTGGGGTGTGTGTGTGGTTGAAGTTTGAAGATCCTTTTTTGTGAGCATCTGTGTTTCAACTCAACCCCATGGTGCCCTATTGCACGGTTTAAAATATGCACAGTTCCTCTTATGTGTATGTTACTCCCTGCACTGTTACAACACTTCACGTCACGTCTCTTCCTGCTGACCCTATCGTGTGTGTTCTGTCTTCTCCCTATCTTTCGTCGGACCAATGGTTGCAGTGGATAGTGGATCAGCTTATAATGAGTCAGGCAAGGAAAAGAGTGGAGACATTTCCTGACCTCACTAACGATAGGAAACACGCCAGCAGCAGGTCATAATATGGGATCATGGGATGGGATGCCAGATTTGATTATTTATGTACAATACAATATCGTACAAGAGAAATGAGATGGATACCGGTAGGTCCTGAGTGTAAAAAGTTTGAATATCATGTCACACACACCAGATTCCAGAGCAGACTATAATCCACAGGACGTAACACTGGTGTCTCCGAAAAGTACGTAGCGGAATGATAAGTGAACTAGGCAGCATGCGATACAAGTATGTCTCAGGATGTAACAGCGTGTCAAAATATAGTAACTGTTGTAGGCTGTAGTGAGGTGACTTGTAGGGGGTACAGTTTCTAGGTTTGCATATTTGTACCCTATTCTCGTCATTCCGTTGTGCATACTTCTTGAGATGGTATCATGAGGTTAGATCCTTAGCCTACCCTCGCCTCGCCTAGCGCGCTCCGTCCGTTCCTCCTAGCGCTCGCTCGCTCCGTCCGCTTCGCCGTGGCGCCTCACTCCCTAGTCCGTTTTCGCACGCTCCATCCTAGCCCGTTTCCGCACGTTTAGCCCGCGCCTGCGCCCCGCGCTCTCACCTAGCGCGCGCGTGCGCCCCGAGCCCGTGCGTCGCCCGCGCGCCTAGCCTGCGCACCGCCCGAGCGCATAGCCCGTGCGCCTAGCCCGCGATTCGCCTGCGCCAGCGCGCCTAGCCCGCGCCTCCGTCCAGCGCCCTCGATTAGTGCGCGCCTGCCAGCCCCCGCTTAGCCAGTCGCGCGCGCCCCTGGTCCTTCCGCCCCGTGCGCCCTTACCCCGCCAGCTACGTGCGCCTCGCCAAGCAAACCGCACGCGCCCTAGCCCAACCAGCCGCACGCGCCCTTACCCACCCCTCCCGTGCGCACCCCGTCCTACCCCGAACGCACGAAGCCCGAGGCGCCCCGAGCCACACCTTCGTTTAGGTTTCCTCGGGTTTTCCCTCCCGTTCGTTGGTTTGACACTCACGTCAATCCTCCTCACAGTGCTTCGCACCGTCGCGGCTGGAGGCTGCCCCACCTAGCTGTTTAGGATAGTGCTGGCGTTTCGCTCTTCCCTCTCGGTCCACCTAGCTGTTTCGCTGGCGTTCGTTGTTAGCTAGGTGTCTCTCCTCGCTCCACCAGCCGTCTATTCCTAGCTCAGCTTGCTCCCAACTCCGTTCGTTACTAGACTGACGTTTCTAGCTCAGGTTTCCTCCGTGCTCTGGCAGTACCTCGCATAGTTCCACCTGGCGCTCCTCGCGGTTCTCGCTCATCGCTCCTAGCTCCATTTGCTCCGTACTCCAGCCGCTCCTAGCCTAGCCTCCACTATGGAGTCCTCCCGCCGCCTTCTTTTCGACGCGGAGGGCCGCCCCATCGAGGTTAGTACTTGGCTCCACCAGGCTCAGTGCCACCTCACCAGTCAGCGTCAGGACGGTGCCACCCGGTACGCTCACGCGTCAGGCGCCCTCCAGGCCCCCCGGCGTCCCGACCCCCTGCCTACTGAGCCCGCTCCCACTGCCGACGCGCAGGTGGACTACGACAGGCTTTACTTGGCGCGGGACGATTGGGACTCTCGTAACGCTGCGGCTGCTCTCGAGCTGACATACCTTCTCCCACCGACTGATGCCGTTCACTTCTTCCAGGTGGAGACTGCAAAGGGGTGTTATGATGCTATTGTTGCGCGTTATTCCACCCCTTCCTCTGCCTCCCTCAGCCGCCTCCTTATGCCGTTTGTGTTTCCCAACCTTGGCTCATTTGCGACTGTCTCCGACCTTGCCACTCACATGCGTTCCCTCGACACTAGCTACCATGCGGCATGCACTGAGGCTCACCTTCTCCTTGCCCCCCCTCCTATGTGGCTCACCGTGCACTGGTTAGTCACTCGCCTCCCTGACCGCCTCTCCTCTGCCCGTGACGTGCTTCTTCAGAAGCACCCCAGTGAGCTTATGATCGATCTTCTTGAGAGCACTCTCTCGAAGATCGAAAGTAACCTCCTCTCTGTTGCCTCTGCAACTGACACAGTAGCTCCCCGTTTCTTTGAGGGGTGTGCTGTCCCTCAGCTTCCCACCTTCACTGCTACTCGTGCCACTGCTGCGGTGTCTGTCTCTGGGGAGACTGCACCTGTCTCTGTCGCTAGTTGGCATAAACGGGGCAAGGGTGGCAAGAAGGGGGGAAGGGGGGTGGTGGCGGATGTGGAGCTGGGAGTGGCAGTGATGGCGCCGGAGGCGGTACTGGTGCACCTGGAGGAGGAGCCCCTAAAGGCGGTCCTGGACATGCGGGCCCGGCAAGTGGAGTTGTTGCCCCAAGCGGTGGTCCGGGAGACCAGCAGCAGCAGCAGCCACAGCAGCAGCAGCCACAACAGGGACAGCAGCAGCAGCATGGACAGCCGCAGCGGCAGGTGCCGCAGCAGGTTTCACAGTGGGGGCCCCCGCAGCAGCACTGGGCCCCCCCGCAGTAGTGGGGACCTGGAGGTCCGGGGTGCACTGGCAGCAGCGGCAGCACTGCCAGCTGGGGCCGCCGCCCCTCTAGGCGTGACTCCGGCCCCTGCGACTACGACCTCTACCGTGCGCGTCACGGTCACGGGGGACGCACCCTGCGCTGGGCACAACTGTTAGCACGTAAGATTCATGTATTTGAACTGTCTATGTATGAGGCTTGTCAGTATGCTTTGTATGCTGATGTTGACTATAGTGCTGATGGATCTGTTTGCTCGCGTGTTTCTAGCCTAGGACCCTTTCCTGTTGCTAGTGTAGACTTGTGCATCTCTAGTCTAGGTGCTTGTGTGGCTGCCCTATGTGCTTGTGTAGCTACCAGACCAGGGGCACCTCCTGCTGAGGCGTCTTTGTCCTTCACGCTGGACTTTGGCGCGTCCCAGTGCTTCTTCCGCGACCACACGACTCTCACACCACTCCTTACTCCTGTTCCGGTAGCTCTGGCTGATCCTAACTCAGGACCAGCCGTTGCGCGCAGCTCCACCACCCTCCCATGCCATGTGGCCCCTTCTGGTGTCTTTTGAGGTCTCCACATCCCCTCGTTCACTCGGAACTTGGTGGGAGTAGGATACCTCCAGGATAGAGGGATCACAGTTACCTTTCTCGGGGGCGGGAGGACTGCGGTCTGCACGGACGCTGCCACCAGTGTCGTTCTTGCTACGTTCACCAGGGAGCCTCGCTCCGGTCTCTACGTTCTGCACACTCAGCGCCCCCAGGTCCCTGCGTCCACTTAGGTTGCTGTGTCCAGTCAGGTTGCAGTGTCCGGTTAGGTGGTTGTGTCCGGTCTGGTTGCTGCGTCTTGCTCTTGCCGTTCACTCTCTCACCCGTCCCTCCCACGCCTCCGCAGCATGGCTAGCCAGCGTCTTGTCTCGGGCATCCCGCGTGTCTTTGAGTCGCTCCCTCGTTCGCCTGCGCCGCCCTGCACTCCTTGCGTCGAGGGTCGGCTGCACGCCACTCCTCACTCCTCCTCCCTTCGTCCGGCCACCGCTCCCTTCCAGACCCTCCACTTGGACATCTGGGGCCAACCCCTCGTGCTGGGCCCGAG